CGGCAAAATTTTAAATGGAAATTTATTATGCTCTATTTCATTATATTATATTTACTTAATTTATATAAATATATATTTAAAAACATTAATAATTGATATTTTTAGCTGCTTTATAATTATAATTACAATTATATATATATATATAGAGAGAGAGAGAGAGAGAGAGAGAATAGAAAATATAAACTTAATTAATTATAACAGCTTTCTTCACTATTTCTTAAAATGGCTTTTTTTGTAAAAAAATAAATTTTTTTAATTAAAAAGCATATTTATGAAGCATTAAAAAAGCTGTTCCAAACTAAGGGTTCCTTCGGGATGGCTTAATTACTGCTTCTTAAAATAATTTTTTATACAAAAATTTTAAAAATTACTTTAAGAAGTAGTAAAAAATCATCCCAAACAAAACCTAAGCGTAAATCCCTTATGATAGATTAAGAGGATCACAAGTGTTTGCAGTTGATTGTCTTTTTAAGTTAATTATTTTTGGGAGGTTCATAATTAATGCTTTTTCATATGCAAACAGGCTCGGTGGTTAAGCATTTGTCCCTTTTCTAATCTAATAAATACGAATTTTAATTTAGTGGTTACCCATAATTTGGTTTTATTAATATGTTTCAAAGTCAATTAATAGTGACTTGTGAGTACCAAAAGACCTAATTAAATTGAAATTAAGTGTGCATGTGAAGGTGAGTGTAAAACAAACTGATAACAACAACTATGAAGATTAGATTAACCTCAATGAATATTTGAATTGAAGATTTTCAAAGTTAAACTAATCAAGACACTCCAAACTCCGATCTTCGTACGTAAATTTAAAGTCAAACTGAACGTCTTAGGCTTCATTTGGGACGGTTTTCTTATTGATTCTTAAAGTAGCTTTTTCGTATAAAAATTTGATTTATTATACTAGTACTAGAAAGCTGCTTTAAGATGTAGTAAGAAAGCTGTCCCAAATAAAACCTTAATGAGACAAATCTATTGACAGTAAAAGTTATTTGATTTGAGTCTAAATGAGCTTGGATCAGTCACTTAACGTGTAATTGGACATTTTGAGA